CAGGGTGATGCGGAGGAGACGAATTGTTGAATAAAGTCGTTTTTTTTTTCATTCTTTTGACCTATGCAGGGTCAGACAGCTCTCAGATTCCATCAAAAATATCTTAATTTGTGTTCCGAAGATGAACGAAGGTCTTACGGGTTTGAAACGACATGAGGGTGAGTAATTAATGACATACTTTTAATTTTTGGGTGAACTAAACCTTTAATGATTGCTATCGGGATGTGAAGAGACTTTCAACCAGCATAACAAAAACTGTTTCTGAAGACAATTACCTATTGCACCTTTAACACCCTCGTACTGCAATTCCAATTCTAGGAAAATTATTTAAATTCAACCAACGTTGTAATTCCCTGCAGTGTTTATGCTGTTCTGTTGAAGTCAACTTGCACTGCAAGTACATGCTGCCCCTGTTCACATCCAGGATGGATTATGGTCCTGCAAATGAGAGTTAATGTTTAGATAATGAGACATAATAAATAAAATATGAGATTAAAAAAAATCACAATAGCATGATATAATGTTTCAAAATCATGAAATAAAGCTGCAATTACAAACAGTTCACAATACATTGCAAATAAGATGCTCAGAAGGCACTCTATATATATATACTATACTATACCGGTCAAAAGTTTGGGATCAGAACTATTTTTAATGTTTTTTAAAGGAGTTTCTTATGCTAATCAAGGCTGCATTTATTTGATCAAAAATACATGAAAAAATTTAATATTGTGAAATATTATTATGATGTAAAATACGATGGCTGATGGAAATTCAGCTTTGCATCACAGAAATAAATTATATTTTAAAGTATATTAAAATAGAAACCATTATTTTATATTGTAATAACATTTTGCAAGATTTCTGTTTATATATATGTGTGTGTGTGTATGTATAAAATGTTCCCCTGAAGTTATGAAAATGTTCTAAGTATTGTAACGGGGTGAAGAATCACATGACAAGAAATCTCAATCAATACCCTGGAGGGTGGATTTATTGGGGTGAGGGGTGCTTGTGAGAAAGGTCCAGGTAGGTGCTCCGGTGCCGTGAGTGCTCTCTTCCGTCTTCCCAGTGCAGAGGGTCCGTGCAGTGCTCCTGTGGGGCTGGTCGGTCACACGCTGCTTTCTGTGGGGAAAATGAGAGGGCGAGTTAGTGCTCAGTCTCATGGAGGAATCTCCTAGATGGCAGGGCTTGCGTGGCTTATGTAGCTACTGGTCGCGGGGTGCCCTCTGGCGCGCGCCGCTCCTGGACCACCCTCTGGGGAAATGGCAGCGCTCGCTCCCCAGCATCCCGGTGTTGGGCCGCATCCGCCAGCTCGACAGCTTCCACCAGCTCCGACGTGGTGGTTGGGTTCCTCAGAGGGTCCGTGCAGTGCTCCTGTGGGGCTGGTCGGTCACACGCTGCTTTCTGTGGGGAAAATGAGAGGGCGAGTTAGTGCTCAGTCTCATGGAGGAATCTCCTAGATGGCAGGGCTTCCGTGGCTTATGTAGCCGCCGCCTGATGAGGTGCAGCTGTGACCGATCAGCCTGTGATGATGATGGCCAGGTGCTCCTCGCTTGTTTCCAGGGCAACGCTGATGAAGCCTCGGGACGCTCGTCACAGTATTCTCTTTTTTTTTAATGTTTTAGAAACATTTTTTCTTGGTTGTGCGAATGTTCATTCCACTGTATCAGTTTGCACTTTGCAGCCATTATAACAATGTCACTTATGAATGTTCTTTAAACATTCTAGATCAAGTTGTAACATTTAAAAATGTTAGTCGAATGTCTAAAGTTTTTCTGAAAAAAAAAAAACGTGAACTATGTATAAATAGTGTTTTAGTGCATTAAGAAGATAACTTTGCACTAAATTTGAGAGAAACTTCGCGGAATAACGCTCCCTGTTAGTTGGGATTAATACTGAAGAAGGTCTAGGAACAGATAATATTTCTCATTTCTTATTTCACATTATGTCAACTGTTACTCACACACATTCAAACACTGTTTGTCTGTCGATATCAAATCTACATCTTCATTGGCTTGTTTATGAGTGTTAGACAATAGTGGGCATTTCAGCTTCATAATTCATCCATTAAATTTGCACAGTATTACTATTTGTGAGTTTTGCTATGTATGTTTTCCCTGAATAATCTTGGAAATAACAAATAACTTGAATCTTTGAGCTTTGATTTATAATAGCAGTTGCTCCACAGCATGTTATGAGAACATTTCCTCCAGTTTTTCAAGGAAGTATGTAGCTCTTGATGTGCTACAAACCCCAGCAGTAGACACGATTAATGATAGGCCAGTGTTTGAGAAATATCTAATTGCTCTCCAGCAGGTCTGGAACTTGTTCCTGCAAAAATTGGTTCATCACTCCTCTCCCGCAGCAACATATGCTGAAACAGCAGCCCTAATAGTAGCACTTAACTGAATAAAAAGAGATCAACTCAAAACTCAACTGGAGGGCTCATAGATAAACGCAGGACCTTGTCAGCTAAAGCTTTTTTGGTAAACCTGTCTTTTGTTATTATTTCTTTATATTTAAAATATTTTAATGAGGAAAAAATACTGAGTGCACTTGTACATACTTGACATTACAGATAATTATGTCAGGAATTGTAAACAATATGGCAATAATGCATTTGGCGAATATGAGAGTGTTGATTTGACTATGAATGACTTGTTTTAATATGATTTAAAGTCTTTACAAGATTGTTATGCCAGGGATTTGATGAAAAAAAAAACAATTAGACTTCTTAATAAATATTATATGTAAAATATACACATAACATCCATCCTGTCAAATTACACACACACACGTAAAGACTGCCATTACCATTTGGCTCAAAATGCCTTTTGAGACATTTTTACCCTCACGGTACACAGCAAAACAGAGCAGGTGATAGAGGAGGTAATGAAACAGTCCAGTCAGCTTTCTGAATACACAAGCACAGAGGCCGTCTGGGGAAATGACATTGCGTAGGAAATTAGATTCCCACTGAGTAAATAGAACATCCAGACTAAGAACGGACTCATTTAACTCATGTAAGAAGGATTCATTTTGCCAGTTCCTATAGTGCTTACAAAGGCAGTTCCAAAAACAAATCTTTATAAAATGATGATTCGTTCATTGAATGATATTGATTTGCTTTCTCGTCAGTATCACTCAGCCAAACAGAACATTGGCCATACTTTAGTTTTTTGTTTTTTTTTGGATATTGGATATTGGATATCCTAAATCAATCATTCTGAATGGAAACAAGATAGCAACCTTACATTGTTGAATGGAGCTAGAAAAACATGTTGACCAATATTTCCTCTTACACTAACCAGGACAGCAATATATCAGGCTGCTTGTCTTAAAAACAAAGAAGATAAGTCAAAAACTATGTTAATTGATGAATAAGTGCAAACAAAAGTGGAACATCATCAAGGGATTCATTACTAACACATAAAAACATGATTTTTTCTTCCAGTAAATTAGATTGAGATGAAATATTTCTGAGCTCAACGTGTATTTTTTTATTGGTAAAAGCTAAATAATAAAGCATCCCTGTCTACATTTGGTGACCTTTCTTAATATTGATTGAATAGAATGCCTCAAAAGAAAAGCATAAAGCTGGCATTTTCTTTTACATGGTTACAGAATGAGATTTAGCTTTAAAAAAAAAAAACAGAAAGTTAATTTCTCCTTCACACAGAGGACCCTTTATAGGGCATTTCTGCATTGGCAGGTAATTTGGCAGACGAACACTGCAGTTTCACCTTGTTTTTGTTGCCTTCTCACTCTATAAGCGATGCTAGATATATATAACATCAGCATTGTGTATTATGCATGTATGTAGACCTTGTCGCTAGTACGTTCAAAATCCAAAGATGTCCCATTGATTTCTCTGAAATGCAAATAAAGCAATCTATCATATGCTCCTTCCTCATTGAGAGTCGCTGTTGAGCTTTGATCTTTCCCAATAATACTGTCTGGACATCTAATGCAAAATCAAGTTCAGGGCTGAATGCTGCCCAACCATGTATTGAGGAGTACAACACTGATTATCCAAAAGATGTCAAGAAGCTTTAATAATGACAAAATGAACCTACTTCTACATATCTATGTACTTGTTCTGTTGCCAATGTATTATTATTTTTTTCAAAAATATATTGATTAAGACTAAAGTAATAGACCAAAGAACATTGGTGCATGCAGTGTTTTAAGTTTATCAATCTCTTAAATTAGACCACAGACCACAATGCCAATTACAAGTCCCTTCAGAATGCAGATAGCATATTGGGGTCAGGTAAGATGCTTTTATGTTTTTTGATAGAGGTCTCTTATTCTCACCGAAGCTGCATTTATTTGGATCAAAATAAAAACAGTAATATTGTGATATATTATTACAAATGAATGTAACTGTTTTTCTATTTGAATATATTTCAAAATATAATTTATTCCTGTGATGGCAAAGCTGAATTTTCAGCAGTCATTACTCCAGTTTTCAGTGTCACATGACCCTTGAGAAATCATTCTGATATGCTGATTTGCTGCTCAAGAAACATTACTTATTATTATCAATGTTGAAAACACTTGTGCTGCTTAAAATGTTGTGAAAAACGTGATTTTTTTTTCAGGTTTCTTTGATGAAACAAAAGTTCAAAAGAGCAATATGTGAAATAGAGATGTTCGTAACCATGTAAAAGCCATTACTTTTGTTACATTTTAATTTTTACTTTATTTTATTATATATTCCGATTCCGAAATAATTAAAGCTGAATTCCGCAACTGACCAATCAGAATGAGGTATTCTACAGGCCTATATTTTCCTATTACTAATTTAAATAGTAATTTTAGGTTTTTCTAAAACATTTAAATTGTGACACTGCATGATAATCATTGATTAGTTTTGTTATTCATTGCAATATGGAAATAAGTGCAGTTCATGAAGTGCAGGTTTCCTTTAAAGCGATAATGAAAGCGGGTTGCCGTAGCAGACAGCTGGAGGCTCTTGACCGCTGCAAACGCGCTGTGTGGGAGGGAGAATGACAGCGGCTCTGTGCCTCTTCTCTTCACCTTGTGCGGGAGGATATTTACACCGGAGAACCCAAACAACACCACACGTATGATGAGAATGCTTTTTATGCAAAGAAGGGTTGTGGTTACATGGAGTAGCTAACATGCCAATAAGGGAGGAAAGACACATCTAATTGTTCGGGGGTAAGATTTAACCTGTTGTCTTTCTGATGACTGTATCGCTTTTGTCTCTTAAAATGATGCATGAGCGCTGCTAGATGAATAATGGAAACATATGCTGCGATTTGATTACATGACTGGCTATAACAAGTCCTGTGAGAGCAACAAAGCAGCCCTACAGATAGCGGAACAGTATGTGAGATTTTCTCGCATGGATGGTGTGTTTTGAAAAGAAGAAATTGATTAAATTCCCTCGGGAAAAAAAGCGTGTTGATATCTATACAGCTGCTTTTTTGCCTTACTACTAATTAAACGTGTTAATATGTTGCGAAGCTTGTTTATTTTTTCATATCAGTTGGATTTAGAGTAATTCCGTCCTATTGTTTTTTCACTACACAAATTTAGAGGTTCAACTTTTGTTAAACACACAACGGCACTATATCACAACATAGCGCGCAAGCATCAGGTCCTCTTATTGTTCCTCTTACATCCTTCATCTGCAATTATCAGCCCATGTTGGCTCCGTGCACCATTTTATACGTTATTATATTTTATAAAATATTTTAAATATATTTACTTTCTTTCTAGTGCATATTATAATGATAATCTATAGAAAATGACTGTAAAATGAGTGTGACAGATCTTGACAGTTCATGGTTCAGCAGCAGGTGTGCTTTTTATTTGCATGTCTCAGCTCTGTTTACATACAATATCTTCGTTAAACAACATCAGCCACTATGATATATAGGCTACATGACAGCTTTGTGAATATGTTGTTGTACATCTTTGTGTTTGGCTACAAACTGTAAATTATTGACAGTGAACTATTCCATTTGGTTTATTCATCACTCACTCAATGCAACACGGTTGGGTAAGGCACAAAATGTGCCCGACCACTCTCTAGTCAGTGACGTAACACTGATATCAAAGATTGCTTTTCTTTTGAACCAGTCGTTCACTGCCAGCCCCAGCCTCTTCAAAGGATGCATTGGCAGATTTCCAAGATGAGGAAAATTTCAATAGCATGTCCAACTGTGGCATCTTGGCTAAGGCTCTTCACGTTGGAAGCGCCTGATTTGCATTAAGAATATAGATTTATTGTAGACTATCTGATTGTTCTTTCCTAAAATAGACCACACAGGGATGCAATATATCCCTTGACAATACATTACTAATGATGCACACATATGTATGCAAATAAAGTAAAAAAGGACATTACTTGCACAGAGGCATACAGCATATAGCCAAAAGTGAAATGTCACATGGCGCGGCTGATTTAACAGAAAGTGGCTTGAGGCTGCTCTTCACATGCTTTTATTACACTTTGCTGTCCAGTCACTAGAGCCAATTTGACATCACAGGCCCCTTTCATCTCAGTGAACTAGAAGAATATAAAAAACTCAAATCATAATGATTTGTCATAATGCTCATGATGAGTGTATTGAACTTTATAAACAACAGAGATACATGCAAATTAAAACATAAAATAGACTTATGAAAACATCTTTAGATGTCGTTTTAAGATTAAGACTGTCATTATTTCCTGTGATTAAGGTAATTACAGGGTGTTATTATGGACTTGAAACTATGTTAAGTGCTAAATATGTTTTAATAATTATGAATATATTTTAATAATATGAAATGTAAATTATATATTATTTAACATAATAAAATAATTATTTTATTATTTTTATTTTAATAAAATAATTATATTTAAAATAACTATTTTCAATTTTAGTGTTTAAAATTTAATTTATTCCT